CCCCACAGCTATAAAACTGTGGGAGCTCAGGAGTTCTACCCCTATCTGGGAAGCTCTCTCCCCTCCCCTTTGCCCGGGAAGGGGATTCAAGCCGCGGAGCAGCTGTTTGACGCTGCTCCTGCGGCTTTTACGCGTCCTCGGAGCAGGCGGCGAACGAAAACGCCGCCATCGGCACAGGAACTCAAACCGGAAGTCTATTATTTTCTCTTTTCATGAAGCATTTCCTCTTGTGAGAGTTGATTTCTGAAATCTGATTTGGACTCCTGATGGACATTGATTGATTAATTATGATCAATCAAGTTGGTGTTGCTTCTTATTGATCCTATAGATACATTTTCTCCATGATGATCTTTCCATAACCTGGTCCTTCAAGTCTTCCAACTGTGCACCCATCATTACTGTGATTGAGTCTATCCTTCTTGCTGCTAGTTGTCCTCTTCTTCACTTTCCTTCCTCCTCTTGCATCATTTAACCTTCTTTATATAGCTAGGTCTTTGCCTAATGTGTCCAAATTAGGATAATTCAAACCTAGACATTTGTGCCTTGAGTGAGAACTCTGGGTTGATTTCTTTGAAGGCCAATTTATTGTGCATAGTACAGCCAAGAATGGTATTCTCAGGAGTCTTCTCCAACATCAGATTCAAAAGTGTTGTGCTTTTGCTGTTCTGCTGCATCAAAGTTCAACTTTTCCAATGATATTTCACAGGGAATATCATGCTTCACACTATTCTGAGCTTTGTAGGTATAGGCACATCATGGTATTTGAATGACTTTTCCAATTCCTTCATAGTTCTCTGTCACATTTAGTCTATGGCATATTTCTTGACTGATTGTTACTTTGCTGTTGATTCTGAAAGGCAAAAGCTATGTACCATTTTGATTTCTTCATCATCAATTCTAAGACCAGATATTGTACCTGTTGTCATTAGTTTAGACTTCTTTGTATTTAATTTTAGTCTCATTTTTTTCAATGTGCTGCTTGACTTTTATTGCTAGTATTTGCAGATTCTTTGCATTTTCAGATTAGTGTCATCAGCATCTTCTTCCAATCTTAATATACTGTATACAGTGTTATACAATATATTCATTATATAGGTCAGCGGTCCCCATCCTTTCCGGTTTGGCAGACCGACAGCAGCAGCTGGGCAGCAGCGACTTGGCAGAGGACGGGATGATTTTGCACACATGCCTGCCACTTGCGCAAATGGAGCTTTGTGTATTCGCCCGCCACTTGCACGGCCTGGTTCCCAATGACCGGTACCGATCCACTGACTGGGGTTGGGGACCCCCGATATAGGTTGAATAAATAAGTGGAGAATATACAGTCTTGTCTCAATTATCCTCCTGGAGCCAGTCTATTTTACCATATTCTGTGCATGCTGTGACTTCTTGACTTGTATATGGATTTTGTGTGAGAACAATGTTTTGGGATGCCCATTTTTCCAAGCACATTCTACAAGGAATATCAGATCTTTGTTATTAAAAAATTTGATTGTCTCTTCTGATAGTGAGGCTTATCCAAGCTGCACAGTGACCGGTGTCCAATTTTGCTCTGATGTTCGCAGATTGATGAAGCTGGATTCAGAGAGGTAGGCTTTCAAATGTCTTGCTTAGATCTGAGTTATTCTGAATCCCTTAGAATGTGTGGAGGAAAATGTCCTGGGATTTTTGTGCATCAGGATCATGCTAGAAGAAGTTTTGGTTTTAAAAAAAATACTAGATAATAATAATTAGCACCACTGTAAAAAATGTCATCATCCTTCTTCATCTGGTGAAGAGACAAAAAAGAAAGTACTGTAGTTTCTTGTCCTTTGTTTAAGAAGCAATTTTTTAACCTGGTATTTATTCCCTTATAACCTGGTATTTATTCCCTTATAACCTGGTATTTATTCCCTTATAATACAAGTGCCATAATAGAACCCATTAATCCTGTTTCCACTGCCTGCCATTTTTGCATTTTTTTACCCACTTCAGTTTCTATATTAACTTGCTATTTAAAAAAACCTTATCAATATATATATTTAATATATTGGTTCAGTGTATTTTATTTATTATTTTAAAAGAACCTTCATTTCAGGTTATATTTCACTAGACTGAATACTTCATAGTTAAAGAAGACCATAAAAAGAGTTCAGTTTGGTGTAGTGATTGAAGGCACCAACCTAGAAACAGAAAGTGAGATGCTAGTCTTGCCTTAGGCACAAAACCAGCTTGGGTGACTTTGGGCAAGACATTTGCTCTCAGCCTGACAAACTAGGAACTAGAAAAATCTTGCCAAGAAAATTGCAAAGACTCAAAGGAATTTTAAAAAATGATAATATATCTGGAAATGCCATAAATCTTTTCTAGTTTTCTGAAAACAGGGCTATAGAAGCAATCACAGGTACTGGTCTTGGTGAAAAGATGTGTCAAGCTCATTTTGGAAAATTAAAAGCCTTGGCATCAAACCTGAATTCCAGAACAGGGAGAGAATGTCATCATCTGAGACACTTGTTTCAAGAACACGTTGAAGCCCTTTTCCGTGGCCAGTCAGTCTTTTGTTCTGTGAATAAAGGCAGTTTCCAATTTTGAAGCTGCTTCCGTGAAAGGAAGGTTGTAGTACAAAACGCTAATCCTATTTTTCTATAGGCTTTTGCTTAAGTTTTTTCAATATTAATATCAGTTAGTAATAGAAAATGAGATGAATCCAAATTAAATATATAAACAACCACCTAACATAAAACAGAAATGTACATTTCCCTTTATTTCTTGTATTAAGTAACAAAAATATGACACTTTCAAGAATATGTAATTAAATGCTATATTTTCAAATGTATTTATAACTATGTGTTTTGATGCTGTGAAAGGTTTTTCAATACTCAGGAGAAATATAAAATCCAGTGGATAATTAAGCAAGGTACTGTTTTCTTATAGGAATGTGAAAATATTGAATTCTCTAAGCATTTTTGGTTTGAAACTTTTCCCCCCTCAACTAATCTTTCTGTCTTGCTTGCATATACTTTAAGCACTAAGGGACTAGCTGAGGTCTTCTATGATTTTTGGAAATGAATGCAACTATGGCTCAAATATTCAATAGGCATATATTTACCTTGATGACAAAAGAAGAAAAGAAGCAACATGTTTAATTTAAAAGCATAATAAACACAATGAATCATCAGATCAAAATTTGCTTGCCCCAGCATTTGGCCCTCACAGTGGCTAATCATATGCCTAACAAATAGCAGCCATCTAAAGTGACTACAAGAGTGTCTTCCAATAGTACCATCAGAACCAACAACCAATGAGAAGGTCCATGAATTTATCTTACTTTCCTTTTAAAGTCAACCAAATTGCAGGTCATCAGAGGGGTACTCTAATCATAGGGGCCCTTCCTGCCAGTTGGCATTATTCATCAGCTTTCATACCATCAAGAAACACACCATTTTCTGAATGATATCTCCAGACATTATTTTCAGTATAATTACATGTCAGCAAAAGAGAGGACTCACCAGATCCACCCTAGGATTAATGGAAGCCTCATTCAACTTGATTTGGTCCATTTGGTCTTCACCACTGTTCCTAGAAAATATTCTTAACAGTTTCATTCCAAGTCAAAAGTGCCAGAAATTTTCATTTGTAAGAACATGAAATACGAGATTTGGAAAAGTGTCATAAAGAAATGGATGGCTGCATTAACATTTTTCCCCCTAATTTTATACCTGCCAGGCGCAAGGCAATGAAAGGGAGGCTTTACTTCACAACCAAGGCTCAAAAGGAGGGGAAAATTATGATCAAAATCCATCCTTGTTCTCGAATTTTCTGCTGCCGTATTTGTGGCTTTGAAGAGGTACAAAGAATATCAAGATATTAACTGATTGTAAAAAAAACAGCACTGGGAACTTTGGGTCTTGTGTTCCCCTCATTGTTGTGTACATGCTACCAATCATTGACCTGGGCTAGAGACAGTTCCCTTCAATATCACATACTGACCATAAAATAAATAATAGCCCAGCTCAAGAGGAGAACTGAATGCCCAGTTCTGCCATCCTACTCACCTAGGCCAGGGATAGGCAACCTTGGCTCTTTTATGACTCGTGGACTTCAACTCCCAGAATTCCTGATGCTGGCTCAGGAATTCTGGGAGTTGAAGTCCACGAGTCATAAAAGAGCCAAGGTTACCTACCCCTGGCCTAGGCTAAGCTCATGCCAAAGATAAGATTTCAACTTTGGACTTCTAGATCATTCATTTTAGTGGACAGAGCAATTAAGCTCTGAATGATTTTTCTTGTTTCAAAAAGGGAGAGCCTAGCCATACCACATTCTCATCACCTACGTCAGTGTTTCTCAACCTGGGCCATGTTCATACAAACAGAAACCCTGACAATGGGGGGGGATTTGTCTGGGAGTTGAATCCACCCATATTCAAGTCGCCAAGCTTGAGAAACACTGACCTACATGCTCAGTGATTATCGCCTCAGAACATTATCAAGGGACATACAAGTAAACACAGGTCACTTTTCACTCTGAAAAGAAACCATGATGGGTCAGGTTTTCTATTTGTGTGAATATGGCCCAGCAACTGGAGATAGTTACAGAGAAGAGGATCTTCCCTGCTTTTATCCCCATAACAGTAAACTTGGCCAAAGAGTTGGAGAGTTGGCCAAAAGGAATGACTGATGGCCAAGATGGGGACCTGAATGGCAGTACTATTCATCTGTTTAGCAAATATATAAAGGAAATTATTTGAATATCCTGGTAAAAAAAAGCAAAAAGAGAAAAAGGTTTGATCAGTACTGGTACATATGATACTTTAAAGTGGCCCTATGTTTCAGGCTTATGTTAAAGTCAGGAATAGATTATGGTTATTAAAATAACATTTTCCTCTCTGCCTTGTTGTAGGGCAGATTCACAGCTCAGTACAAGCTTTAAAGATGGTGGCACAGCTCTGTGTCTTTGCTGAAAGCCTGCTCCCCTTAGTACCATTGGGAGAACATTATAATCTGGCATCTCTTCCTGTTACTGAGCTGTCACTTACTTGATATGGTTGTTGCTGCTTTATTTCATGTGGTGTCTGTCAGAAAGGTTTGGAAAGATGCAGTTCCTCTCTCTCCCTTGCATTGACACACCTTCCTGGAACAGCCAAGAGATTTTTCTGGCTGTTAATATTATTACGGGTCTGGTCATAGACTCTGTCATCAGAAGAAGTATAATTTGTTTATCCTCTTGATGGAAATGCTTGGATTAAACCATCAAACATCTTTTCACATTCTTTCCCAATGTATTATTTGGAAAGACAATCAATGAAGGCTGCCTCTGGGAGAATATAGGAAGTCTGTTGACCCCATTTATTCTAGCTGACACTTTAAAATCAATGACAAAAAAAAAGAAGTAAGCTTATTTCTTTTTGATTAGGTGGATGCTGAGCAGTACTATGGGGAGCTAGAGGAGAAACTGACAGATGAGTTTAATGCTGAACGCAGCCGGATTGCTCTCAAGCGTCTTGACATGGCCTTCGTCACATTCCAGGATGAAAGAATGACAGCCACGTGAGTCTTCCTAGTACAAGGCC